TGGTGTTAGGTGTGTATGTGTGTGTGTACAGTGTGTGTGCGTGGGGTATCCAGGGTGATCCGGAGTTGAAGTGTGAGGCGAACAGTGGTGTTGCGCACATGGACAAGAGTTGCGAGGTGTGGGTGCTGGGGCACCATAGCCTGTTGAAGCGATATATGAACTGTGTCTTGATTTCCATGTCTTCGAGCTTTGAGTTGGGCGCTATGCGCCAGAGTGATTCACCAAATGTTTGTATGCATGTGAAGTGACGAAGTATATGAGTCTGATTGCACACCTATGTTGTTGCCCCTCTGGTCTTATCTTCCCTATCTGTCTCCGGGTACCCCCTGCGGCGACATTGGTGAGTTGCCACATTAGCAGGCCACGTCAGCAGGACACAGCAGCCGAACAGTGCCACGTCAGCAGCAGGGAGTTCCACGACAGCAGTCCTCCAGCCTGATCAATGCTCATGTGCTTACAAACAGTCGGCATGGATCAGAAGTCCGGGGAAACGGACGAGGCCTATCAGGCCCGAGCAGAGATCAGCATCGGCTGAAAGTGGCCGTGGTCGTGGCGGCAACGCCAACCGACCAATCTAGCGAGGCCGTGTCTGCCAATGAAGGGGACAGACTCGCAGCCGCCCGGGATGGTGGCTGCCCCGGCAAAGGCCGAGGACGCGGCAAGACGAAGACAAACACCACATTTATCCCCGGGCCCGACGCAGCTGCTTCAGCCCCATGGACCCACTACGGGCAATTGGAAAACTGAGCACCACCGGGAGTGACTCGACGACACTCTCGACGCCTTCGGAACCGGTCGCTTCGCAGGTGACCGCCCTTCGTTTCAAGGCACATGTGGAAGTCGATAGTCCTCCTCTTCTATATTCTTATGAGGACTATGCTGCCCGACTCGTTCCTACACTGGGTTCTCATGCTCAAGGACAAGACATGTGTGCGGCATCTTCTCCGTCCGGCAGCGGTGACTTATCGTCTTCAAGTGGTTCTTCACAGGATTCGGCGCGCGAGTTCAACATAGAGGTATTGGACCCGCTCACGTCTAAGGATTTCGCATGGCTTCCTCTCCCGACCACGGCCGCTTGCCGGGACCGCAATGCGCAGCACAATGCACTCATCTTCACACGTGCTTATCCTTGTATACACCACCAACTTCGCCGACGGATGACGGAGTCGCGGTGGGGGACATCCTTGCGTATGTTACCAAGGTGGCCCATGGCCCGCGAGTTTCACAATCAGCGGTACGACGACAACAACGCACCGCTCCTTTATGTCCGCATCCAAGTTGGGCAAGCGTCCTGCAGCGTTTTGCTGGATAGCGGAGCGACTCGCAATTTCATGAGCCAAGCCTTTATGCAAAGGGCTGGCCTTGGCGCACAAGTTCGGAGGAAGGCAAACCCGACGACGATCAAGTTGGCAGACGGAAGAACGCAACAACTTATCGACTGTTACTTCGAGGCCGCACCGGTGTATTTCGCACCTCATGCATGCGAACCGGTGACGTTCGACATTTTGGACACGGACTTCAATATCATTTCGGGAATGCCTTGGCTTGCAAGTGCGGATCACACGGTCAACTTCCACCGGCGGACTCTTACCGTTCGGGACGCTTTCGGCGCCGAATTACCGTGTACACTATTCCTCTTCCGCACCCTTCGACCCAATGCCAAGTGGTGATGGCCAAGTCGATTCTTCCCCCACGGCCTTGTCTTCGGACCCCCGTGTGGTGCGGTTGCTTGACGAGTTCACCAACATCTTCTGGTGTGGTGCCGGATCCACTGATTTCTCACGAGATCATTCTTGAGGCCGGTGCCGTGCCGCCGAACGGCTGCATTTACCGCAGCTACGACAACAGACCGATCGAATACTTGGTACACTTTGTGTATTGATGCAAGGCAAGCCAGTATCTTCGGCTCCACGTCGCACCCGGGACCAGGTTCCACCTTCAGATCGTCAGCTTCGCCCTCGACCCGGCTTGACTTCATAAGCAGGGGGGGGTGTTACATGTTGCGCATGCAACAGGCTGCACGGGCCATTTTCAGGCCCGTGTCGCTTTTAGCCTGAAAGCCTGAAAATGAGGGCCTACAGACCCTGTGTCGTTTTCGGCCTAAAAGCCTGAAAACAAGGGCCTACAGGCCCTGTGTCGTTTCAGCCTGAAAGCCTGAAAACAAGGGCCTACAGGCCTTGTGTCGTTTCAGGCTAAATCAGGGCCTTTCATGCCTTGAGTATTTTCAGCCTGAAACTGAGGGCCATTTTCAGGCCCTCATCAGTTCGACCTGCCCTGAAACTCAGGCACCACACCAGGGTTTTAGCTCAGGCCATTTTTGGCCAATTTCAAGACAACCTTTGTTTGAGCTTCAACCCCAGGGTCTGGCACGTTTTGGCATTGGCAAGAGCAGCCTCCTGGACGGGCCAGCACTATATAAGACTGGCCCACCCTGCAGGCTGCAGGTAGTTGGGAGGTAGTTCCTAGGTACTTCCCAGGCACTTCACGTGGAAGCAGGAGGCAGTCAGTAGTCTTCAGGATTCGGCAGCAGCACTCTGGAGGAGCACTGCAGGAGTAGTTGTAGCGTTAGCAGTAGTCTTCAACGCTGGGCGCTAGTAGCGTTAGTTGTAGTCTTCAGCGCTGGGCGCCATAGCTAGAGTAGTACTAGAGAGAGAGAGATTGGGCGGAGGCCAGGGATACTTACTGCAGCGCCATTACTCAAGCTTCGTCTTCGAGGTATCTGCAGCACAGCGCCATCTTCACGGGTTAGTACCTGACACATGAGAGAGAGAGAGAGTTCTTCTTCTTCTTCTTCTCAGTCCACCATCTCCTTCTCACCCTCTCGCTATCTGACTTCACTGCATCAGCAGACTAAGAGAGAGAGAGAGAGAGAGAGAGAGAGAGA